TTGCCCTGGCCAAAAAGCAGGATAGCGCGCTATGCCTGTGCATCACCGGCGGATTGCATCCGGCCACGCACAGGTTTTCAGCCAACAGATCATCCAAGGCCCCCCCAAACACCCCCAACACCCCCCACGGCCCGGAATTTCCCGCCAAAGCAGGCGGTACTGAGGGCGTTGCCCTGGCCAAAAAGCAGGATAGCGCGCTATGCCTGTGCATCACCGGCGGATTGCATCCGGCCACGCACAGGTTTTCGGCCAACAGATCATCCGAGACCCCCCTTCCCCCGCGCGGCCCGGCATTTCCCGCCAGGTCGGCGGTACTTAGGGCATTCCTCAGGCTTCTGGCTATGCTGCCCGTGGGCGCGGTATGCCTCACCTGCTGGCCGAGTAGGTACTGGGTCCATGGTGGCTCGTGGGGCGGTAGGGGCAGGAGACGGCGGAGGGCAACCAATTATGTGCGCAGTCACCGCCAAGGTCCGCTGTATGTGGACCCTGGTTGAGCCACGCTGGCAATCAACCCGATCCCCAGATTTGGAAATCAGTACTTGCTGCCTGGGCTCTGTTGTCATCCGCTGATTTGGTACACACGTCCGCTGTCATCCGCTAGATTAGCGGATGGGGTACGCGGCCTCCAGTCCGTTGGAAAATATCCGTTAACGCCCAGGCGGAATCCGCAGAGTCCGCTGATTGGCGCCTGCCGTCCACTGCCATCCGTGCCACGTCAGCAACAGAGAGAGCGGGGTCCGCTAAATTAACGGATATTTAACGGAGGGCGCCCTCGTCCGCTATTAACGGATCCGGGTGGCCACCTCTAGACCCCACTGGAATATAATTGGAAACTTGCTTGGGTTTCCACGTTCCATTGTGAGCGATAGAGACCCCTGCATTTGTTACCCAAATTCTGGCAAGAAATATGGAGCATTCTTAGATGCTCACTGCAGATGCCCAACGCTTATCACCCTCAAATAGATGGTCAAACGGAGGCAATGAATAGGGTGGTGGAGATGGTGTTGCACTGCACTCTGCATGCCGGGCAGGAGGGATCGAGCTTGGAATGACTATTGTCCACCGTGGAGTTTGTCATCAACAACAATCTAATGCAAACAACCGGATACATGCCATTCTATTTGAATTACGAGTACCAATTGTGTACTTCGGCAGGCCTTATCTGCGACAGTGACTCAACTTTAATCAAGGAGTTAACCTATTTATTGAGCAGATGAAGAAGAATTTCTCGACGACCGTGAAGATCTTGAACAGGGCTTAAGATCGTATGAAGATGCAGGCTAACCAGAAGAGAAGGGAATAGAGGTTCAATAGTGGGGACTAAGTGCCACTCTCAATAGAACATTTGAACTTGAAGAATGCGCTGATCCACAAGCTGAAGGAAAGGTTCGTTGGGCCATTCTTTGTTGCCCGTCTAGTGGGACAAGTGGCCTACGAGTTTAAAATTCCCTAAACATAAAAGATTCACAATGTTTTCTACTTCAACTTTTGGTGTTCTTTCAGAACCAATTTATGAACACAATGCACCATATCTGGTCAGGTGGAGGAGTTAGAGCCTAAGGATGATGAGCCATATGATATTGAGAAATTGATGTATTGGCGGTGGGCTGGTCCCAATACCAAGAGGCACAAGGAGTATTTGCTCTTGTGGAAGGACTATTCGATTGATGATGGCTTTTGGACTCTAGAAGGCAACTTTACCTACCTACAGGAGCTAAAGAAAATGATCAAAAGAGACAACCCAATAGAGGATAATTAGGTGCAGTGGTTAGCTTGAGGTTTCGAGGGGCGAAACTACCCCCAGGGGGGAATGTTGTGGTGTAAAGCATATGGGGTAGTATGTTTCTCTGCTAATCGGGTTCTTGGGATGTTAAACTACAATAAACATTACAATAATACAATCTCATACAATAATCTCATATGATAATAGGCTTTATTAGAAGTTTGTAGGCTCTTGAACTGCCTCCATTGGGTTAGCAGTAGAGGAGATATTGATAAATATATTTCTAGTATTTTAGGCCCCTTCTGTCATACCGTATTGGGGGATGAGATACTATCATTGGGCCCAGACGCTGCATTGTCAAGTGATCCGGGTGGGAGTCACCCCCTCAAAGGGGTGACCACCTGTCACACTGTAATTCTGTTCTCTCGCCCACTCCGCACACCCAGCAGCTGCACCCGTGAGCCACACGGCACTGCACACCCACAATGCGCCCGGCCGCCCCATGCCCAGCCACCTGCAGGCCTAGGCCCTTGTTGCGAACCCAAAGGAATGAGCGCCCCGGCAAAGCCCACTGGCCATCCGGTGGAGGAGGCCCATCTGGGCCCATAGGGCGCCTCGGCGGGTGCATCGCCCACAACGAACTGAAAACCACGCCATAACTGATAATTGAGGTGATAATAATCAAATGGGTAAACATTTCGATGAAAATCATGAAACAGAAATAAACACTTAATGACTCGATTTCTGTGTGACTTTCACACCCCTCCACATGTTTTGAGCCAAACTGATTTTATTTTGCCTTCCCTCTTTGTTCAAAGAGGCAAATTTGAATGGCTAAACTCATTCTCTACTAAGCATGTAATTTCTTATATTTTTGTTTCTTGTGAGTCTGTCGGTTCTATCCTTGCCTCCTTTCTTGTGACCAGTGCTGGTCTTGACGTTTAGGTTTACATTTTTGTGCATAAAAAACTAAATTTGCTAAATGGGCTAATTTTATGGCTATACTTATGTATTTTTATGGCTCGTTGAGACACCAACGTTACATAATGAGGTCGGATACAACGATCAGTCCTCCGATCCTCAAGCACTGCAACAAAGCGTCCACCTCGCCCTCGGCAACTGCCTTACAAATGTAAAGATGTAGTCGAACAAAAGGTCATTTTCTGCCCACTCCAGCTTATCTAGCTGCCAATCCCCGGATACCCTGAGTCTGCAGATCGTCTCATGCGTAAAATAATATTTACTTAGTATTTTTACACGTAGAAGCGTAAATACGATAAGTGTTTATGCTGTAAAAGTCAAACCTACTTGTGACACCAAATCAGTCGTCTCCTGTCCGCCACATGCAACTCATTGCGCTAAGCAAACATGGCGAATGGCGAATTTAACACAAGGTGTAATACGTATTAGGCCTTGTAATATACCTGGGCCAGGATAGCAGACGCGGTCATTGTTACACCCTGAGATCAAGCCAGTCACAGTATTGGCATTCGCGGCACAATGCAGATCAATAGTCAGACCGAGTTGCACAGCCATCATTGAGAATAACAAGGAGTAGGCTGGGAAACCTGGGCGAAACAGAAGTGGATCTCGGTCTCGGCGCATGAACATGGTATTCGCGTCGCCCGTACACAATCAGTACACATTTTGCTCGCCCTGAAAACAATGGAGGAGATCATCTGCGGTTGCGCAGGCTGGCCATCTCCGTGGAAGCTTCTTTGCACATCGCACGTCGCTGCTGCTTTGCTCGCGCTCAGGATCCTCCATTCATGTTGCCCAAGTTCACACAGTGCACGTCATGTACATCCGTCATGACTAGATGTGGCAAGAACTTGCTGTTTTTTGACAGGACGAACCTGGCCGAGCCGCGGATAGATCCATCAGCATCGCTCCAGAGGCCTGTTCGCGCGCACAGACGAAGCCTGAGCATGGCCCGGCAACGCAGTCCATGCAGACGGCGCTTCTTTTAGCGTTGCAGTGTGTTGCAGAGAGCAATTGGCGGTCCATCAGCAGCGTTCGTGACCCCCGATTTGTTCACAGGCCCAATTATGCGCTCAGAGACAAAGTCGTGGCTGTGCGCCAGCCGCAAGGGACTGTCTCTGTCCACAGATATACACACATATATACGCATGTGGCACATGCATATGTGGCATAGACGTGCACATGTGGCATATACACACACATGTTTGTGTGGCAGACGCAGCATTGCGCTGTTTCCGCTGGGCGGGGCGGCTGCCGTTTCAAAACGCCACTCTGTACCTGCACCGAAAATTCTGAGGCCCATGGTCGAAGGAGGTTGCGGGAAGCCTGCGTGAAGATGCAGCATGCCAGCCGCTGTCCAACACAACTGCGGGAGCGTGAGACCAACAACACGACACGACACGACACGACAGCGTGCATGAAATTGGTTACAAGCCGACCCTAAGGCCTTGTTCCGATACTAGGAGGCGCACTGTACAGGAAGATCAATGGCAACGACAGGGAGTACATCCAATCACCCTGCCCAGTCTCCTGATGTACCTACAAAATCAAGATCGTTGCTTTTGACCCTCGTGTGCCAGTCTGACCATGCTTGCGCGCCTCTTGTTCGCTTTTGGCCAGGAACCGGAAATTCGATCCACACCAACACTGCAAAACTTGGCAGCAAGAACTGTGCCCACGTTGAATGAATTCTTTCCTGCCCTGGGACGCCAACGCCCACTCTTGAGCTTGCCCCGTCCTACTACAACTTCAAATTCTCCTGCTGCCGGCCGCCCGGCCGCCGGCAGCTCTCGCTTTTCCTGAAAATCCTAAATCGCGGTCGGCACCCTTCCTGAAAATGCGCCCCCCACACCCAGTGGAGCTGGAAGGCGGCGACCGCTCTCCCCTAAAGCCCGCGCATCGCATTCTCCCAATCGTTGTCCGTCCCAGGCATCGAGCCCGGAAGACACAACCCAAACAGCACACACAGCAGTCTCTCATTCGTTACAGCCGACCCATAATACCTACCAACGCCTCCTGTCGCCCGGCTCAACCCTGCTTCCACAATTCGCACCATTGCCCCCGCTCCCTCCACCGGAGGACACGGCTCTCATCCACACCCCGCAACCTGCCCGCAACAGGTCTGCTCCCCTGGCCGCTTGCCACACAGCCTAAACACCCGGCACCCACTCCTTTCCTCGATTCAGCAGCTTGCAGTCCACACCACCCAACCGCATGGCACCCGCTGCCTTCCCCCATTCAGCAGCTTGCGGTCCGCCACGTCCACGCCCATTCCCACGTTGCCCACCCGTTTCGCTCACTTCAGCATCTTGCGCTGGACGGTCTCGAAAGCCCGGCCGAACGAGGCCGCCTCATCCCTGAGCACGGGCACATCGGGGCTGTCCCACTTCTTGAAGCTCCTGGTGTACCAGATCTCGTCGGACTGCCTCTCGCCGCCGCCCTCCTTGGGGTAGGAGTACATGGCGATGGAGACCTTGTTCAGCTCGAAGGGATTCCCGTCCACAGTGAGGTCGACCATGCCCTCGGCGATGTGCTTGCACACAGTCCTGAAGTCCATGGTGTCATTGTACTTCTTGGCGTAGATGAAGGTCTCGCCGTGCTTGTCGATGCGGGTGGGAGGCACGGCGGCCGGGGGGAGGGTCTGGCACAACGCCAAGAAAAGCGTCAGCCAGTGTCAACCGCTTGTGGCGCAGTGCGCGCTGATAAAGCCCGTTTTCCTGCACATGAATAGGACGCCAGGCTCGATTCGAATGCAGGAGTTCAACACACAAGCCTCAGGATCCATTTGAGTTTGCGGACATTTTCCTGCTGAGCGAGCTGGTATGGGGCGCCAGCCGCCCCACCGATGGCCCACCTCTTCTTCCAGGGGCACCCAGTAGGAGGAGTACCGCTGGGAGCTGAGGTCCCACACGTCGAAGTCCACTTTCAAGGGGGTCGACCTCTCGACCTCCTTATGCTCATAGTTGGAGCCCTCGAAGAAGCTGCTCAATTTCTGCACGCAACCAGGCATTCTTTTAGTCCCGCTGCTGCAGCTGACAACACGCACGCGCCACACACCATGCACAAGACCAGTAGGCATTATAGTGCAGCACTGTGGTACAGCACACTACCGTACACAAAGCGTACAGTGGTATGCCTTTGAATCTGGGTATGATTTGATTGGTCGAAACAATGGGGAAGATGACTACTTTTCTTTGCGACAGTGATATTGTTCTTTCTTGCGACATGTTCTTTTTTGCGACAGTGCCAGAACTGTTATTTTTTGCGACAGTGCCAGAACTCTTATTTTTGGCGGCAGTGCTAGAACTGTTCGTTTCTGCGGCGTGGCCGCGGTGAAAGTGTGACGCGAGGCATGTTGGGCACCAAACCAACACATAGAAAGGTGGAGTCCCTTTGCTTACAGCGCCGCTGGCGGTGGTGCACTCCTGTCAGGGGAGCGTGAAGGCCAAAACGGGAGCGTCGGGAGCGTTAGAGTGTTGCGGCCGTGTTGTTTTCACGGCGATTCGTCATCGAGATACAATCCACGCGGTGGAATCTTGAGCAGAAGCCACCCAAACTGTGGGGCAGCAACCCGGCCAAACGGGTCGAAACACGATGGTGGGGGCGCTGGACCCTTCCCCTCAATGGCTGAAACCGACTTGCCAAGATCGTCACAAAGCATCAGCCGAAATGGCCGATGCTCGAAGCCAACGACCAAAACGCCGGAAAAAGGGGGCTGCTCGGCGCCCCCCCCACCCCATTGATGTGGCGTAGGCCTGGGCCGAAACGGCCGAACTGGCAACAAGCGCGGGAGGTAGCCGTCCCTAGACTCTCATTTAAAACGAGGCTGCCGATCTGGACGCCACATTGCGACAAATTTGGGACACCCCGCGTGTCCCTATTCCCCAAATTGGAGCGGCTACGGCTCAAACTTGAACCGTTCGGCAGGGCGAGGGGCGATCAATTCCCTCTCTTGCTTGCGAGTTCCTGTCTTTATGCCCGAACCCATAGAGTTCCCACACCATGTTTTGATAGTCTTGGCCGTGCCACCAAATCGTTTCGGATACACTGTCACTGCCTCTGGATCTGCAAGGTAGATTGAGTTGGTTGATCTTGACCGGTGCGAGCGATTTCGTTCGCCCCCGCATATTGGTGGACATGGATTGGTGGGATGAGGACCTTGGAGGCGGGGAGCGGTGTTTACGCGTGTGCGTTGGCGGGAGGGGATGCTCATCGCCGCAGCCGCGGACAGGGGGGTTGGGATCCCTGGCGCTGCCTGCCAGCGCCTTCACCGTTCAAGCATCGACGGTGCAGGCGCCGGCAAACAGCACGGTTGAACGATCAACGCAGCCTGCCTTTTTGCTGGCCGTGTTGGCTCGCCGTGCCGTTATGTCTGGGCTCCCGGCGTAATTGAGCGGCGAATTGGCCTCACCCAACCTTGTGCCTCACTCAGGCCTCGTGCAGGCGCAGCCTTTCAGACTGCAAAATTCGAGGTGTCCTGCAACAGGACAAGTATCCACCAAGGGCTACGAAAGATTCCGTTCCCGCGCAGCGCTGGGGCAGCTGGGGCGGGCAGCCAATTCGCACTGCCCCAGGCTTTCCCGAGTTCCACTTAGCCATTCCCACTGTCGCAAAAAAGAACAACAGTTGCGCTGTCGCAGAAAACGAGCAGTCCCGGCAACAGTCGCAAAGCAGAATAAGCGCAATCACATATCGCCAAAAAGAACAATTTGGCATTGTCGCAAAAAAGAACAGTCCACGGTCGCAAAAACAAGTATTTGCCAATGGGAGAAAGCGAGGGAGCCCCCTGCGCTTCTGCTCTTGAAGCGTTAAGAATGACAATAAAGTGTGTGTGTGTGTGGTGGTGGTGGGGCGCTGACGCGTGGCGACATGAGCACTCCGAACTACGAATCCATCATTGAGAAATCTTACACGTGAATTCTGAACTGCATGAACACCCCGCTGCGGTGCTGCAAACGGTGACGCAGTAAACCACTTGGGGGTCGGCTTGGTGTGCCAGCCTTCAACATCGTGACGATCAATGATGGACGCGCAATCGGTCAATGAATCAGCGAAGCACTACATTACGTTGTGAAGAGACATCACGAGGCCACAGCGCGGATTCGTATTCGGACTGATTCGGCATTCGCCGGAAGGCGGGCGCACCGCGCCGGTAAGCGCACCAGTCAACAAACAGTCAACGAAAAGTCAACGACGAGTCAACGCCTGCGGCCCCGCGAACCGGCGCGGCCGCAATCCTCCCCCTCCTGCGCGGGAGGCCGCGGAAGGCAGCCCAAGGGCGGCAAAGAGCAACGCGAAAGCTGCCGTGGCACCGCTATGGTTCACCGAGGGACTGGACCGATTGCATCCGACCGTTCGTTCTGCGAAAGAAGAGGCCCTTCCAGGCACTCCGCGCGTTGCTCACTGCCCATTTGCGCGATCCACAGGGGTGAAGAGCGGTGCCGATCACGCGGACTGAGCGGCGAATCCAATCCCGGTGTCAGCAATGTGCGCAGAACAATTCGGAGGCGATCGAGTGATGGCGCGGGCAGGCTCCAGCAAGGGGCGCCCGGCGGGCGAGCCCCGATTGACCACCGACTTTGGCAGATCGCGCGGATCGCGCGTGGGACGGCGCAGGCGGACAATGCCGCGAAGAAGAACAAATCCGTAGTGGCTCGATCGTCATCCCGACGTTCGATTCTGCAACGGCGCGGGTCATAGCGCGGCAATGTCGATTGGTCGTGCCGATACGCAGCACAGGGCCCATGAAGGCCGCGCTCCGAGTGAGGGGATGCCCACCTCGTCTCCGTAGGCCGCCATGAAGGTGAAGTCGTCGCCGGGCACGGGGAACTTCACCCACATCCCTGCGGCAATCCCACGTCAGACATGACTTCGCTTGTCCCCTCACCTCCCACAACGACGCGATCGGCGGGCAGCACCCACAATCCGATCCCTCCCCTACTCACCTTGCGTGTACCTCCTGATCTCCACGTCCCCGTTGACGACGTCGATGACGTCGTAGTCCGGGCACTTGTACCCCGCGCATGGGTCCGCGGGCGCCGGCGGGATCGGCGTGGGGGTGGGGTAGGCGGGCGGAGCAGCGGGCTCGTCCTGAGCCCAGGCCCCCGCCAGCGCGGCGGTCGCGACGGCCAGCAGCAGCGCCCACCTGAGAGCCATGGTCCTCCTCCTGCTCCACAATCCCCGACTGTCTTGCCAATGCGCACGGCACGGGCCCATTTATGCCACCGCTGGGTTTGTGCCATTGCCAGGGCTCGGTTCCGAGGCGACTCATCACAGTGGTGGCTGCTGCTTTGGGCGGATCAGCCACTGACGTGCGCACCCATGTCGGACCCGGGAGGGTTTGTCTCGGACGGGGTCCGCGGAGGGTTTCGGGATGCCTGTATTTGGCAAGGGGGCGTGGGGGACAATCATGGAAAATTCGGCGCGGCCCGGGGGGGAGAGGGGGGGAGCGACCCGCGGTGTGGGCGTCCCGGCGCCTTGATCGGCGGCATCAGGCAAGTACAGCTTCCTCGGGAGGGGGACGCCGGGGGGGATCGCCGGTGCCGCGGGCGGGCCGACTTCAAAGTACTGCTGGGGGAACTGGAGAGGGCGCCGCCACGGCGGGTGTTCCCGGCGGTGGGATGTGGACGTGGGTGTTTCTGGAGGCGGGCGCCAGTTTTGTTTGACGGGCGGGGAAATGCGCTGTGACTGAAGCGAGCGACTAACAGAATGGATTTGTTGCTGACATCGCGTCTCGGCGATGCTCAATGCGGCTCTGAAGCCTGTCAAATTTGAAAGGCGGCTGGCGGCTGCTAAAAGTTGATGGCGAGAGGGGCGAAGGGCGTTGCGAAGGGTACTGTGGGCCGGAACGCCCAGGCGCGTGTCGTGATGTTCACAAATGTGGGGCAAAAGCCTTACAGGGGCGTGTGTGAATCGCCATCGTCACTCAGCAATGCACTTCCGAAAATATGCAACGGAACATGCAATTGGATCGCATATTGAGAAGGCAAAATCCTTCGGGTTCCGAGAATGGTGTTTCCACCTGAGGGGCCCTCTTCCCGACAACACACAGCCCTATGTGCATTGTGAGTTGGGAGATTGATGATGTCTTAATACACTCGGTCGGGGCCAAGGCACATCTGCAACTGCATTGGGCGCTCCAACCATATACAGACCTCAATGAGAGGCAAGCGGCAGTGCGTGCATACTGACGTGCAAGGGGACAAACAATGGACATGTGTTCTTGGGTGCTGGGTGGCGACATAGCCCTCATACTGGCTGACACGCTGTTAGTGGAAAATTCTATTCAATTGGGTGCTCCAACCGGTTCCCAATGTCTTCTGAGCTCGGTGCTGCTCCCCAAAGTCCCAAACAAGACTTGAGTTGAATTAATTTACTAACATGCACGACGCCTTCAACCTTTTCCAGATCAGATGGCGCTGATATTGGCAAGGGCGTCTGCTGAGCTTTGGAACAGCAGCCACCCTCAGCGTGTCAACAGTGGCTGTGGGGATAATTCATTGAATGGTCACACCTGAATCTAAGAGAATCAACCTTTTATTGCGATGCCCTGCTCGGAAGCGGACGTCAATTTCTAGCAAAAGTGGCGGCAGCTGCCCATTTCGCAATGCCACACTTGTTGCATTGTGCTCACAGACAGAGCCGCGGCTTCAAGTCCCTCCTGTCTTATGTCCTCGCATTTTGCTTATGGGTCTGTCCTGCCATTTTCCGATCTTGCTGGGATCCTTGAGCTGACCTGGCGTGAGACTATATCCCAATATAGACTGTAATGGCAATATATACAATTGCGTGCACGCCAACACGTGGTCATGGAGATTTGCTAGGACATAGGTAGCGCTTGTGCCATTGACCATAGTTTGGACAATGTACATGCGGACTCATACCCAACGTCGCCTTGCAAGAGAAACATTTATGTGTCGTTGCAGTGCTAATGCCACTGTTCAACACACACCGTCAACAAATACCTTGGTTATAGGCCTTGTGCACTATAGCGCGCGTGAGTGCTAAATAACAAGCTGGGTCACGCGGAGGCGCTTTCGGCCTGCTCCCACAGTCAGGGTTATCGTCAGGAGATTGACGCTGGCATCAACGCCTGATTTCCAAACGCCAAGTTCCGCTAGTGACAACCCATGGCTGGGCCTTTTTGTCGGCGCGCATCTGTAGTTTTCATGTTGCAGCATTGTGAGCAGAACAGAATATTCCTGATGGCGTGTGATCAGAGCGGTTAGACACCCCCACCGCCGGAAAGGATGTATGATCCCCTTCTTCTGCCGATGGAAAGTTATCGGCCTCAGCGCAGCGCTGGTGATGGTCGCAGTGGCACGAGTGCTGGGGAGCCTTGGTGGGGCTGCGCGTCGACGATGATGGCTGTCAATCAGGGTAGGGGATTTGGGGTTCCATGTTGCACGCCCAGTCTCATATATGTGTAGTGGGAGGAGCTGAAACGGCTGGTGCTCCCACAACACCCACGATGCTTTGAACACGTGGCAGCTTTTGAGCCCGTTTACGGCAAAGGATGATCTGGCAACGTCGCCACATACTCGAACACCTGTTGCAGCATGTTTCCACAACTGTAATGCACCATGGCGCACATGTCCTTTGTACTATAACTATGGCACTTTTGCGTTTATTTTCCAGTTCAAAAGTTTCTGTTTGACAGGATGCTCTTCCTGCCCAACACACGTGCTTGTCAATTCATTTTAACTCTTTCTAACAGCTGCTCCATTATATTGCTTCATTTACAGCACATGACCGCAAATCAGTGTGCCACAGAGTTTCGTGTGATCTGAAACACAATATTAAGAAACTATACTTTTGCTGCACCCAGTCCTCGAAATCGAATTCAACTCTGAGGGGCGGGTGGGTGAAATCCCTGCAAGATAAACATATGTTGTCGGGCGCTCCTTCAGTAGGGGGCCTGCTTTCCGGAAAGGACCGGATCCGGTCCAGCAAATGCCTGCCAGGATTACCCTTTCAGGCCAAAGCCTCGGCACTCGTTGAAAGCGGGCTTAACGTAAAAGCATTCATTGGCCCACATTCAAAAGTAGCATGTGGACCAACGGGTCCTAAAATACCAGGGGGGCGGCCGCCAGAAACAGAATGTGCAGCCGACACATTGCAGAATGCCTGGCGCCTCGTCAGTGCCCACGCAAGTCTCACAGTTCAGATACTCAATAAATATTACTGTTAGCTCATCGAGGCTCGCCAGAAATTTCATATCGTGCTTCAGCACCAATTGCGTATTTGGCTGCCACGCCACCGTCGTGTTCAAACCCAGTACCGCTGAGCCCTCGCTCAGCAGGACGTGGTGCAATGGCATCATTGATCAAATTCTGGAGGCACAAACGTTCGTCACTCATGCGTGGCGACTGTTTGAGTTTCTTTTGACCACATTGGCTGAACAAAACTACAGTGCTTTGTGGACAGTGGCCCACCAAATTGTGGCGCCATTAAGGCCGCAGCCCGCACGGAGCACATGTCGTATGCAACACTTGCATTTTTGAGCCGTGAACCATGGTGCACACTTCATGAAACGCCTGTGTTGCACAGCGGTTGCTTGTACTTGGCGATGTTGTGGCGGCATCACCACGACACATGGTCCGAATGGACCCAGTGTCAAAGTTCCTTACCTATCCTCGATCGAGATCCCGCTCGTCGAATCGAAGGCGCGCAGCGATGGGCCACAACGCAGCACGAGTCAAACGTTTGGCTTGACTTCCGTGGCAACGTTGGTGCACGCGGTGCTCAAATGCACTCCCCGTGCTTGGTTGGACAAGCAACCAAGGCTCAACTTGTCTTGCAAGGAAACCGAGAGAAGCCCCGAACAAGGCTCGGGCTCTTTTTAAATACCAGAGTACGCCTCTTTCTTCGCCCACCAAGCTCACACTCAGAGCAGCGGACTGAACTCACACTTCATACATGCACAACACGCTACCCCACAGCACCGACCCACAGCATCTTCCCCTAGGAACGACCCGCAATTCCCATTCACAGCACCAACTCACGATTACCCAAATTAGTGAAACTGTCGCTGATTGTTGGCCAGCCGTCCTCCCTCCATCTCAGTAAGGTCAATGTGTGCACCAGTCAGCCAGCACATGACCAGCTACTTGCGTAACATGAGAGCAGCATCTGTGTTGATGTGTCAGACTTTCGTCTCTTTAATCTGGCCTTCAATTCTGTTTTCACTTTTCTCTTTGAGTTTCACTGCACATCGGCGTTCAGGCACAGACCTCCAATCATGGGAACTGGAAAGTTGCATATGAAACTTCAAGAAACAGTGAAAACCATTCAATTGTCATGTTGCTGGGATCCCTGAAATGAGATTCTCAAATACCATCACTTAATTTCAATAATCGGATTATGAATCGGTAATTGACGGAGCCGGCCTGGTGGTCAATTACTAGCAATTCGAACAACCGGTAGAAAACGGCATCTTTGCGATGCCAACTGGGATGCCATTTTGACACATGTGGCGCCGCCACAATGATTTCGATGATATAAAGTGGCTGTGATGGCATCATTTTGTGCCAAATGGCATCGCAATTGGCATTGCAAACAGGCTGTTTCTACTGGTGTGAGTGGCGTGACCGCAAAGGGGCATCGTTTTTGGGATCTGTCTGCAACTTTGTTGCCACGAGCTCGTTCACTGACCGCCTCCACTGGACAGCTTCCCCAGCGGCGAGTCAGTCAGCGACCTGGCAACGCCCCTTTTGATGGGCCGTTGTCCATAAAGCCTGCATTGCTCTCAAAGCGGTGCGCGCTGCTTCGAGAACACGCATTGGTCGAGCGCGGACGGGTTGATCCCATTGCATGGCTCGACGTCGAGTGCCAGTGCGAGTGCGAGTGCGACTGACAATTAGTAATGGTTTGCTTCAAACTCCTCGAAGGTCGCTGCCCAGCAAACCCCGCCATGGCCCCGGCCCAGCCAGGGCAAGACTGACAGGCCCCCGGTCAGCGCCTCCGAAGCGCTCGACCCCTCGACCTTGCCGAGAGTTCCCAATGCACAGAGCTCCTGTTGTGTGCGTCGTGTTTTGCGTCCATCAATCAGCCTCACCCCGAGAACAAATGACAGATGGTGGAAACCAGGTCCACGTGCATGCGCCAACGAATGCACCGGCGGGACCATCACAACGTACTGAGCTGCGTTTGACGGGCTCACCTTCTGCTTCTGAGCTCCGGAATGCCTTGATGGGCCGTGTACGCCGCCGTTTATC